CATTTCTTAGTTGAGATTCGCTCATCTCAGGTGACTTTTGTTTGTGTCTCGTGGACAGAAACTAATTAGATCACATGGACATACCTTATAAGTAATTGGTGGCTCAAACAAACCAGTGAGTGTGCTAATGAACCCTAAAATAATCATATTTATTGACATAAAATGTTTTGTGACACTAAACAAATAGTCATTTAAGTCGCTGAGGAGATAGTAGAGTTGGTAGAGAGTTTGACTAAACACAAAGCCCTGAGTTTGATGACAGTTCTGTTTAAATTGGCATGGTGACATGTACCTCTAAATTCAGCATTTAGGAGGTAGTGACAGGAAAATCAAAAGTTCAGTCTCATCCTTGACTATGTAGGCTGTTAGAGGTCAGCCTGGGCTCAAGACCTTGCATTGAAAAGTAGGTAATTTTAAGTATTTTAGATTATTATTACAGGTGGCAAAAATAACCACTGTTTCTAACCATTTATCAGAATAGACTAATAAAGAATTGGAGCAAAGAAGTCAAAATAGAGTGCTTTAATGGAATCACAAGGACAGAGAGTGAAAAAAAATAGAGACTTCTAAGTGAGATTTAATGAGTGAATCTGGTTGAGGGGGAAATGTGGAAGATGCAGAGAAATTCAAAGAAGAATGAAATACAAAGTCCTATGAGAAAGTGCATAAGAGGAATCTAATTAGAGTGAGATAAGCAATATTGATGATACTGCTGTGTGTCTCCTTGGAATTCTAAAACCAAACTGCCTTATCTTTATAAGCATACCCTGAAGGCTTCCCTTTTCTTGCAATTTAGAAATATTTTAAAATGAGGACTTAATAAATTATTCTGAACATTTTCTCATCAAGTGAAATTTGAGTTTAGAGCTGACTTGAGTACGTATAACTTATAATTAAAACCTAAAATGTAAAAAAAATAGTTTTAGACATGAAGAACACTGACAATATTATTAATAGCACTTTAATTGTCAATGACCTCATGTAATCTTAGCCATCAGATGGTAATTTGGGGGACGAGATTCTGTGGCCGATAACCCATGCTTCACTCACAAATGTTTAAAGTCTTGCTCTCAAAAGAAAATAGAGGAGGACAACTTGTAGCTTGCATTTATTTCCATGTTGTAAATCTCTCATCATGGTCAATTTTAAAACACTAACATGATATGGATGACATGGACTAGGGAGGGAAATGTGTACAATTAATTCTGAAAGCATATAAATCATAGAAACTCATTTCTTGGTCATTGGCTATATGTCTATCATATTAAGGAATGAATAAGAGACTTCCTCTTGGAGTATTTTAACCAAATGAAAGCCCAAGTTTGATTTATCCGCTTCCCTCACTGTGTCCATCCATGATCTGCATCTGTACCATGTCTGTGTTGCTTTTCCTTCATGTATGTCTGATATTAATGTCCCTGAGTCCTGTCTGTCCCTACCAAAGGGCTTTACTCTATGTTCAATGAATGACATTGAATGACATATAAAACAGGACATGGGAAAGGCAAGAAGGATGCTTTTTACAGAAACCTTTAAGAAACTTTTACAAGGGAAGAACTTACTTTACCGACCTAGCTGATCCAGACTAGCACTCAAAACCGCAATTAGATGTTATCCACCTATATCCACACATTATTGTCAGCATTTATGGAATATTTGTTTTGTTTATGCTGGCTTTCCAATATTTCAGAAGATGTTTACCTACACACACACACAAACACACACACACACACACACACACACACACACACACACACACACACACACGATATTCTAGGTGAAGGAAATAGAAGAGTATGTAATTAAGAACAAAATGGTACTTTTAACATATAATGTAAAAGCTGATTAAGTGGGAAGTACAAGTCACACTACTAAGGTTGGTTGCATGGCTTTCTTAAAAGCAAGCCAAACTTAAACAGGCTGAGTATATGGTAGGATAGCATACTGAGTATGTGGTTTAAATGATCTCAAGATATATTTAACTTGGTTGTAAGGTATGGCAAAAGTTCAGTCTCTTCTTTTTAGAGGTCAGGATGAAACAATAGTAAGTTGTGATGGTTCCCCTACAGGCTTTACAGTCAGCAAAGAAATGATCAAGGTAAGATAAGAATGAAACTCAGGTCAGCCCTATTTTATTGTAATAGGTGTTGGATCATGACTTGTAGAGTCTGCTCAGATCATTTTACTTTAGCCATATTTAAGGACAGCAAAATTTTGAAATAAAAAAGCATTTAGATAATGTCTAACTCAGTCCCAAGTGCACAATTTAAGACATGTTTACATTGAAGCTCTTTGCAAAGTACATATGGCTTCATCATTAAAATGATTTCTTGTTGACTTAGAAATAGTGCTCAAGATAAGGATCAGGGAGCATGACTAAGTTGAACATAATGCCTAGGGGAGTCAGGATTGCACCGGCCCTAAGATAACATGAAGTAACTTGGGCGATTGTACAGCCCAAGTGACAACTCTCATAAGAATTGGTTTTATGGCCTAGAAGTAATACTCAAGGTTTTAAGGGGAGAGGGTCTGAGATAATTAAAGCATAAATTCTGAAAGATACAGGCAGGGACTGTCTCATCAGAAAACAAAGAATCTCCAAGTTGTAAAACTACATCATTATCAGCATTTCATGAAGAGCAGCTATGCACCTCATTCTGTCAAAGAGATAAGCTGTGTATTTAAGTTTCTGGGCTTCTCCAGTGCCTATCTGTGTGCACAAGGTCTTTTTGTCCTCTACAGTAAGTAGTATACCTGATAACTTAAGTGAACTAGTCAATAAACTTTCACTCACATGTTGCATACAGCTTAAATGAGTTGGCTGCTACATTACCTGTAGATTCTTCCCGTCACTGAAGTTAGGATGTGGAGAGCCAAGTTTTCTAGTGTTATCAGCTTTACTTAGTACCTTATATTTATACTCTTCTTTAAGTGTCCCACTGTGCTAAAGGAGGGTATATCTGTATTCAGAAAACTTTTGTTCTGGCAAGGGAATTATACACATAGAAACATTAAACTCAGAACTATAAGTTCCAAGAAAAAATAAAAATGTGCCAACTAGCAGTGCATTGTTAGTTGTAATATAATACAAATATATTATATTTCACTTCTTGATTATAAATTATTCAACACAATACTGCACTTTAAAAACTTTCCTTGACTACAGATATTTACATGAGAATTAGAGCCTCTGATCATCTTCACATTGGCTACATTAACTCAAAAGATATCCTCGTTTAACTTTAATACTACTGTGAGAAATATATTGTTAACCTTTATAGTATCAATTCTTATTTGGAGATCCTGAATTCTTTTGTCTCAAGTACCTAACATGAACAATGAGACCCATTTCCAGAATAAAAAATGAGATAGTAAGATATTTCCTAAACATTTAAGTGTGTGTTTGCTGCTCTCTCCTCTTGCGATTGGCTTGTTAAAGTCCACTTTGATTTCCATTAAGTTGTTTTTTTTTATTTTTGAGATTATAGTTAGATTACAACATTTCTATCTTACAAGTTATATATACTGCTCCCTGGTCTACTTCAAATTCATACTCTCTTTATTTACTAATTGGTATTGCATACATGCATGTATAGCATATACATTCCTAAATATTATCTGTCCAGTCTGTATAATATTACTTGTATGTATGTTCTCAGGGCTGGCCATTTCACACTGAACATCAATTTGTGTGCTTTTCCCTGGGGAGAATCAGCTTTTCTCAGTTGTCAGTAGTTCTTCCCATAGGGTTAAGCCCTCATGGGCTTTTTCCCATCACGTTTTGCATGTTAGTTGCTTTCATCCCTGTTCATCTTACATTTGGCTAGTCATGATGAAAAGACTCTATGAGTGTAGCTTCTGATGCTTCTAGGAGACATAATCTCACAATAAGCCCTCTGATCCTCTGTCTCTTTCAGTCTTTCCTCCCCTGTTCCATGCCTGGTACTGGAAACCTAGCTAATTAGTGATGCTGAAGTTGCTTTTGTTTTTAACTGGTCTAAAAATGTTTCAATTGGATGTGATAACTTGTACTTGATATAATTTCAAAAGATTTTAAGGCCATTGTCATATTCTACCAAATTACACATAACTTTTAAGTAGTTACAATGACACCCTAATATGTCTAAAAGGTATGTAAAATCCTTTTTTTCAGATTTTTAAAGCATTTTATTATTTGAATATCTCATACCTTTATACACTGTATATTGTCAAATCAATCTACCACCATCTCCCTTTAAATCCCTCTAGTCACCTTCACCTCATCTTTTTTCTGTTTTGTGTCAAACATTTTATTTATTTATTCATTAACTTGTTTATAACCCCCTGAAACAAATTAATGCTGCTCAAATGCACATGGACATGTACCCATCCCTTGAGGTATGAACAACCTATCAGATGCCATATCCCCAAAGGAGAGTGATGCTACATCTCTTAGAAGACATCAATTGTCAATAGGTCCTTCAATAGAGTAGAGGTCTTGAGGACCCCTTCCCCATTTTTTTCTGGAATTTTGAACATCTTGATATTTCTCAGGTATTGTGAGGGTAATAGCAGCTATTGTGACTTCATGTGTGCAACAGATATATCACATATGTAAATTAGCATATCATACATAGCTTCTCCATCTGAAGAACTGAGAGCAGAACATATCAATGGATAACAGTTAAGATAAATATCTAGAATGCATTTTGACAGTATAATCATATTAGCTAAACAATGAAAGTAGGTTCTCCCCTGGTTCCTATGCTCTCTCAAGTCATTGGCTTTTGAACAAGTTTATAGTGCTAGATATGAAATCTGTCCTGTGGAGCAGTCCTCCTGATCAGAAATTGGTTTATTACCCCAAATAATAGCTCTGTCACTGTTGTGGCAGAGGTCACATCTTGTCAGCTTTGTTTTTTTTCCTAATTTTTTTGGTCTTATGTTTTGTGCTGTCACTAGAAGATACTGTAGTAACTGAATTTCAACTGCTTTATAACATTTTAGCTTTCACCTTGCAGAGGAGCAGTTCTCAACCTGTGAATCATGACCTGCACAGGTATCCTGAATATTAGATATTTACATTATGGTTCATAACAGTAGCAAAGTTACAGTTATGAAGTAGCAATAAAAACATTTTTTTCATTGGTGGTCACCACAACATGAGGGACTGTTTTAAAGATTCACAGTATTAGAAATGTTGACAACCACTGTTGTAAAGGATTCTACTTATATTGAGATCAGTTCTGAAAAAGAAAAATATTGTCAGATTTGATTGCAGTTAAATTGAGAAATAATGATATGTAACAATCTAATTTTCCAAATAGATACAGAGTTCACTTTCAGACTATTTTGCACTACTGAGTAATAAAGGAAAAATAATTCATTTTGTATCAGTCATCTTCACCTATGCATACTTAAACATTTGTTCAAATGCAAGTGCTCTGAATTTCTAATTGTAACTATTCCTAAGTACTTTCAGCGCTTGTCCTGTAATGTATGAAGTGAATGCTTACAATTCCTAAATCCTGTCATGGAGATTTTGTATTTCAATGAAAAAATTAACTGTCAAAATATCAGATAAAGAGAAGAGAAATAAATGCCTAGTAGGAAAAAAATAATGGCACACAGTTCTTCAGAACACTATTTCAATAGGTTTTCATAAGCAGTTAAATTTCATTTGACTCATTTTGGTTTAATTATTTTTCACAAAATAATATGTCTAGGTGCTTAAAATCTGTGTGACAAATCTCAATATATGTTTTTCACTTTTTAAGATAATAATATTATTGTCTAAATGTTGTCACCTATTATCTCTTTATTACTATTACTCTTATTAAGAATATTTGTACATATTAGAAGATAGCATTCATATCTCCTATGTCAGGGACCAAACATGAACCATGGAAAAGTACTAGCTAGGCCAGAGAACAAGCCACAGTCCCTAAACCAGATGCCCTCAAAGATAAAGAACATTCCGAGGTCAGGTAGCATAGCAACAGAACAACGGGCCCTGAGCAGTGACCTTATCACCTAGCACAACATCCTGCAGCTTCATGACCTGCACGTCCTCCTTCACCTGCACGTCCCCCCTCAACTGCACATTCCCCCTCAACTGCACATCCTGTACCTCTTCCCTCCTTCCAGCCCCCTCCCCCTCCCATGCTATATAAGCCTTGCTGAGGAGAATAAAATTTGCAGCTTGATCAGAACCCTGTCTTGCTATCTTCCTTCATGTCTCCCGTCCCTTTCATTCTCTCCTGCAGGTGGATCACCCCCGTTGAGACCCCGCTGGCCGGGGCACTCCTAGAGAAAGAGGCATATTGATTTACACAGTCATGTAAGTAAATGACAATGCAGTCCAGAAAAAAGGAGCAAATATATTTTTCCATTATGAAATATTCAAATTTCCTGTACCCATAACTAGGCTCACTACCTTTATGGCTATCATATTGACCACTTTTCTCCGTGAGAACCATGGCTCTAGTAGGAAAAGGAGTGATGCTTTCGATACTGTGACTTCTGTGTGGAATATTCTAACCCCTAGTTTTGAATAAAAGCCTTTTATATTTTGTCAACACCTGTAATTTGTTTCAGTCTTATTCATTAGACAGAACTGACGTGTATATAATTGTGATGCTTGCAGACAAAGAATAATATAAAAATGTTCATTCCTGGAACAAGGCTAGAGGGGTGTGTAGTGCATTTCATTGATGCTGATGTGGGAATACAAGAGAAACAATATCTGTATGGGCATGGAGATGGGTGCCTGAGAGAGAAGCCACATATGTGAAGTTGTATGTCTTTGAAGATTTTTGCATCGTAATGTTGAATAGTGGCTGTGTCTGAGTGGCTGGACCCAACTCAAAATGTTCCTTCATGTCATCCTTATGAGCATACTATTTAAGTGATGACAAGCATTTGAGCAAATTCCATAAGGCAATTCTTGATCTGCTTTATGTTCTAGAAATTCTGGTTGTTGTGTTAAAGACTGTCTGGGAAGGTATCAATATTCTCAGGAAAGTTGGAAGTTCAGCTTCAAGTATTTTATTTTGTTTTGTTTTGGAGAGCAGAGGCACCTTATGTATTTGACAGAAATATCTCCTCATGTAAAAGAATTACTTTAATCTCTGCAGGTTAATACAAGCATGTTTTATGATATTTTTAATGTAAATTAATTAAATGCATTCTCAGAAGTTCAAGTTAAAATCTTGTTCAAATTAAAATGAAAAAAATTACAGTGCTTTAAATAACATATTTGAAAATCTTTGAAGATATCCTAGTTCACTTAAAGAATGACTTCTTATGTTACATGAAAATAATCCCTTTATCTTAGAACAGGGAAAGAGAATATAGTTATTATGTTTTTGTGCTTAAAAACATATCATCTATCTATAATCTATAAATTTCTATTTGCCTGTCTGTCATCTATCTGTAGCTATCATCTGTTTACCTGGTTATTTCTCTATATCTGTCTGTCTGTCTATCTATCATCTACTTATCCATTCATCTGTCTACCTATCATCTCTTTTACTTACTTGTCTATGTATAAGATATTTAAATTTGCCCACAAATGATCTCCTTAGAAGATTTAGAATTACCTCCAAAGTCCAAAGTAAGTGCCTTCTGTACTTCATTTTTTCTTTTGTTGTTGTTGTTGTTTTGTTTTGCTTCTAAGTGACAGAAGCCAGGCTATGTTTGTTTAAACAATTAAAACTTTGCTTGTGTAATTTGAAAACCCAGAGAACAGAAAATTATGTCCATTTAAATATTTTGGCATATACACAGGAGTCATCAAACTGAGAGCATTTGCGGGAACTCATTAGCTTATTGACTCATTCAGTTAAGTCCACTAACAGGCAGACTTTGAATGCAAACTGATTGGAGTTCTGGCTTCCTTTCTCTGTGACTTTTTGTCATTGTTGCCCATGTGTCCACTTTTTCCTGAAGTTCAGGTTCATTATGTGACCAAATATGTACAAAAACACTACGCTTCATATCAATGGGCTGAATTATTTTTTTTCAAGGTCTCCCTCAATTTATTTAAGGAAACTACAAAACTGGAAATGATTTTGCACCAAAGTGGATGTTATATGAAACTCAGAACCCAACAGACAAATAAACAGCCAGTGAGGAACCTCTCCTACTCCTGTTACTTCAATGCTAACCAGTTAAGCCTAGTTTCCAGTGGATGTTTCAAATTTATCCAGCTTTGAATGGGTTCTATGTGTACAGAACATGTATGACTGGAGACTTGACCAGGACCAAAAAACTTCTTTGGGCTCACAAATGGGACCATCTGTGTCAGAGAAATGGTGGGACATAAGCCTGAATAGACAAGTAGGCCCAACCTCTAAACTATCATTCCCAACATCCTAGAAACTGAAGGTAACAGAGAATGGGTAACCATGTAGGGTAGCTCTGTGGTCATCTGTTTAAAAATCCAGAGAGCCAGAGTTTAAATTTGAACTTTGTTTGTCACACATTCATAACAGAAAACTATTTCAATGCCAGACACATAAATAAATTTGTTATTACTGTGAAACAGAATATTTTGAGATAGTTCAAAAGTCAGCTCTTTTCAATTTACATGACTTAGAATGAGCGCCAGGTAGAATTCCAAAGGAAAAAAGTATACAAAGGAAGGAAAGGATGGCAAAATAACAAAATTATAACATCTGTAATATCTTTTAAATAAAAACATTCAACTCTTTTATGTCAACAAAATCCAAATACCATATGTGTTTAGATGAATTAATTGAAATCTAATTAGTGTTTAGAACAAAAATTCTTTATTACTTTATTCTTTTGAGAGTCTTATAGGCAATGATAAACTGGTAGGTTTTCAACCTCAGAAGCTATTGGACAATAGCTAGATGCTAGGAGTCCAAGTTCAAGGCACTGTGACATTTGGAGAATGATTAAGACTCTATTCTTAGTTCATAAACAATGACTTCTCCTTGTGTATTCACATGATAAAGGAGGACAGCCAATACAATGAAATTACTTTTTAGAAGTACTAATTGCCATGATGAATTTGTGCCTTCATGACTTGGTTTCCTCTCAGCATCCTTACCTTCTAATGTTATCACTTGGAGATTAGGATTTCAACATATGAATTTTTGAAAGTGGCTATAAATCTTGATATTCTAGTACTAAGCATTGAGATACAACCACCATTTAACATACAAACTCACTCAAACTCATTTTATTACATTAACAGCAAGAGATTGAAAGAAATCAATAAAATTAAATTTCTGTTGTACTTTGGATTTAATTCCACTTGTTTTCAGGAACATTTTGAACAATCAATATTACCTATAAGGAAGACCAAAAATACAACTAAGCAGAAAAAACCTGAGCATTGAATATTTAAAAATTATTTTCACTTCCATATCCGAAACTAATGTAATGTGACATTGCATACTATTATTGACTATGCCAGGAATGAAGTTGATGCACTAAGGAAAAATGCCCTACATACAGCATTTTTTAATGTAGCCATATTGATGACAGAATTCTGCTTAATTAAAAAAAAACACGGGAGGCAGAGCCAGGTGGATCTTTGTGAGTTCGAGGCCAGCCTGGTCTTCAGAGTGAGATCCAGGAAAGGCGCGAAGCTACTCAGAGAAACCCTGTCTCGAAAAACAAAACAAAAAACAAAAACAAAAACAAAAAAAAAAATGTGATTTTTTGAATGAATCAAGGAATTATAATTAAAATACATTTGGTTCCTTGCCCCTATCATCTTCTAGTCTCAGAAAAGAAATATGTGTTAAGAAATGTGTGCTCATTTGCATGTTTGCATATATGTTGGAGAAATAGAGAATAAGTAAGTTAAACATAAATTAGATGTATTATTGTTATTTTTCATCATAATTATTATTGTTTCATGTTACATTTTAGGTGAAGGCAGGAATTAATGCTAGAAAAGTTAGTTAAAAAAAATCTACGCAGTAGGTAATGATAGTTAGTAGAACCCCATAAAATAAAATCTGAGAAGAAAATGCTCTATAAAACATATGGTAAGTAGACATAGCTAAGGTTGTAAGTGATAGAGTGAATTTTCACTTTTGTGAAAATTGCTGTATGTTATATAAAACCAATGTTTATAGAGACACAGAACAAGACAAACGATTGAATGCAAAAATATCCAAAGGAATTACAATTTAAATCCTATTAATGGACTAAATTGAGGGGATTGGATCCCTGCATAGCTAGGCATTTTCCAGACATGAATGTGACTAATCTACAGGTTCCTAAGTATTCTAAAGGGAGAAATAAAGGTTTAATAGAGTGTTACCTTGGAGTCATTAATGTAATCCTTTAAAATGTGTAAGTGTTTGATTTTCGTAGCAATCACTGAATATTTCAACAGTAATGTAAGAAATTTGCCTCTGGGTATCTTCTAATGACTTTTTATGTGACATGTTTGGCTATTGGCTTAGAAAATAAATTAAAAATCACAAGAACATTGTGTATATTTTCCATCCGAATTGGCTTTCAGGCTTTGTTCCAAATGCAGCTGATTTTAAAGGTCTTTATGGAAACAACAACAACAACAACAACAACAACAAAAAAGACAAAGAAATTTCAAAAAGACTGAACTTGTTCAGTATGTTCTAGCCACAGTTAATACCTAATACATCATATTTTATATGTAGTTTTCTCTAACCTGGCTTGATGATTATCTAGAGAGGGAAAAGGAGAGAGACAGAGACAGACAGACACACAGACACACACATACATACACATGTAGAGACAGAGAGAAAGAGACACAGACAGAAAGACAGACACACACACTCACACCCATACTGAGAGAGAGAGAGAGAGAGAGAGAGAGAGAGAGAGAGAGAGAGAGAGAGAGAGAGAGTTCCTCCAAACATTTTATGTCTTCTACAAGTATAAAACAACTCTACAATGTCCATGGTCTTATTCTTTTATTTGCTTTGGTGTTTTATGTGTGCATTTGACAGTAGATGAGCAGGATATTTTAGGAGTGATCAATAGCATATAGATAAGGAGCTTGCTTTGACATAGACTTGAAGAAAGATTCCCCTGTCAACCGAGGTGCTAGCACTGCACATTTCAGATGACGTCTCCATCCCTTCCTCAGATATGGTAAGACAGAAGTTCACAAAGCGTCTGTGTCACAGCTGCCTTGCTATGTGTGAAGTGCAGTGAACCTGAGTAGGTGGCAAGACTGAGTTTTAGAAATACAGTCTTCCCTTCTCCTCAGGCCTTGGATCAAAATCTAGAGGAGCTTTCCAATCATGAGTTCAATTTCTGACCAATGGGGATACTAAAATCTCCTAATTCATAGAGGCCTTGTGAGGGGTAAATATATAATGTGAGCACAAGAGTTCTTGTTGGGAATAAAAGTAGGTCCTTTTATTTTCATTATTCTCATTATGGGGTGTTCTTTGAAGATAAAGAGGTTCATGGAGTATAACCCACTGTTCCCAGGTGAGGTCCAATAGATGAAATCAATTCAGCTACCTTCAGTGACTTCCAGAGAGCCAACTTCAAAAGGCAATAGTAGGATTGTGAACAATGGATGCTCCCCCTGTGTGCTTCATGCTCTAGTTCTACACAGAAGAAAAACACAACCTTACTGTCGAGCTTGAACAGCATTTCTATAGCAACTTCAATCAAAAATAAACTAAGTGTCATAGAACCAAAGGGAGTTGAAAATAATGTTGTATTTCATTAAATGAAGTCACTTTTAAGGGTGATTTCTAAGATCTAAAAATAGTGAACTTCTTTTTGTTGTGCCCTCATGGGTTTGCAGCAAACTTTGTGAAATGCCAAGATTTGATATTGCTTTGAACAGATTTTCAAGTGCACCAAATACATAACAAATTTTATCTCTCTTCTTTTTAAAACACCTCCATAAAATACACATACAAAATGCATGTCCTAGTTGTATTAAATAGTTGAAAACACACAGAAGATTAATTTTGAAGATCATAAGAAATGAATTCTGGAGAAGTTAATTGAAATTATTTGTTTAAAATCATAGATTACATGGAAGTTTTTCCAATGGTTACACACTGAGTAGACCTTCAATTTGCCATTCCATTAATTCCTGGTGTCTGGGGCAATGGCAGCCCAGAACATGTGGGAGTGGCCAACCAATGTTTGATTTAACTTGAGGCCCACCCCACACTGTATGGATGACCAGGACCCAGAGACTGGATAATTCAGAGATCTAGGTAGAATCCAACATGCTTGACTGACTAACTAACAAACAAACAAATAAATAAGTAATTCTTAATGATATTAGGCTATGCTCATATATTAATGCCTTGTCTACTCACCATCAGACAGGCTTCCTCAGGCAGCAGATGAGAGCAGGTACAGAGACCCACAGCCAGGCATTGCACACAGAGAGAGTCTAAATTATAGGTCTCTATCAGGTCCCTAGGTCCCTCTATCAGAGATCAGGGAACCCTATGAATGAGGAGGAGGAAAGATTGTAGGAATTAGGGGATGGAGGACACCAGGAGAACATGGCCCACCAAATCAACTAAGCAGGTCTCACATGAGCTCACAGAGGCTATAGCAAAAAGCCTGTTGCCTGTTGAATATGAATTATGGTTTGTTCCAGGTCATTTGCATATGCATTATGGCTCTTAGCTTGGTGTTCTTGTGAGACTTTTAACAGTGTGAATAAGTATATCTCTGACTCATTTTTTCTTTTTTTATTCTTCTCTCATATATTCCAACCAAAGTTTCCCTCCCCTCCTCTTGTCCCAGTCCCTTCCTCTACCTTCCATCTCCCTGAGATCCACTCCTCCTCTATTTCCTTTCTGAAAAGGGCTAGCCTCCCAAGGATATTAACCAAACATGGCATAACAAGTTGTGCTAAGATTAGGTACATTCCCCTCATATTTAGGCTGGATGAGACAACCAAGTAGGAAAAAAGGGGTCCCAAAACCTGGGAAAAAAGAGTCAGAGACAGACCTACTTTCACTGAAGAGTCCCACAAGAACACCTAGTTATACAAGAATAAAGTCTATGCAGAAAACCTAGGACCCAAATAGGGTCCGTGATTGTTGCTTCAATCTCTGTGCTCTCCTATGAGCTCTGCTTAGTCGATTCTGTGGGTCATGTTCTTGTGGCATCTTTGACCCTTCTGGCTCCTACAAAACTTCCTCCTACTCTTCCACAGGATAGCTCAGGCTAATGCTTGACTGAGGGTCTCTGCATCTGCTCCCATCACATGCGGGTTGCAACTTCTCTGATGACAATTGGGCTAGGAACCAATCTATGAGTATGGCAGAGTATAGAAGAGTATAGCAAAATATCATTAGGAATCCTTTAATGACTTGGTTTTTTTTGGGGGGGGGGGTGATAATCTTTGGTTCTAGCCTGGAGACAGAAGTTGAGAAAGACTTTGATAAATACAAAAGAAAAAAAGAAAGAGAGAGAGAGAGAGAGAGAGAGAGA